GCACGGCGGGCAGGGACCGTAAAGGCGGGGCGTGTTGTGGAAGTGCCTCGGGCTGCATGTCCTGGTCAAGGGCGCACGGTTACTTAGCTCTTACTGATGAGGGGAAAAACTACTCCTGCACACGATGCCAGGCACTGGAAATGTAACCCAGCGCTGGTGTGTGGAACGCGCACAGGCTGCGGGGATAGGCAGAGATTTCCGTTCCTTCTGGGTGAAATTTGGACTTGGATTGCCTATACTAGCAGCCCATCAAAATGTTACATTTGGCGCAGCTGTCCTGCGGCGTGAGCTTTCAGAGAAACGAAAAAGCCATTTTTTAGGCAGCTACACATCACATTGCAACATTGGGTATTGCGAGTAGGAAGTTTCAGAAATCCAAAAGCATGTAAAACCCCCGGAATATAATTGGTGCACCATTTATACGGTGTTGGAAAAGCTAACCGTTTGATTATTTCTCATGCTCTGCGCAGAACTTTGTAGGTGTTGTTATCACTGAATGACTGCTCTTCGTTGTTTTTCTGGGTAGAACGTGTGCTGCTGTCACAATGCCTGAAGTAAACACAGATCACCTGGATGAGCAGCAGGTGCAGCTCCTGACAGAGATGTGCATCCTTATTGATGAAAATGACAATAAGATTGGAGCAGATACCAAGAAAAACTGTCACTTGAATGAAAACATTGATAAAGGTACAGCTTGCTTACCTTCTGATTGAACTGTTAAGTAGTTCACACAGAGTTCTACTTCAAATACTGCTAATAGGAAAATTTTTTTTTATTATTGTTGTCATTCTAATTGAGCGTGAGTTTTATTTGTGGTTGGTCAGATTCGTGAATCTCTCACAGGAGTTTGTGACCTCCTTTTCCATACTCCAGGAGTATGGAAATACTCACATCTTCCTGAAGAGTGACAAATAACAAACTCAAAAGTTGCAGAAAACAGCAATTGTACTGTTTGTACTTTTGTAATTCCTGAAGCTTCTTGGAATTCCATACAGTTTTTTAGGAATTCTTGAGTCATCTCTTTTTGATAGTAAATTTATGGATGCTGAGCCCTTCTTAGAAGCTTGCCCAGATGTGCATCTTCAGAATGGTGAACTGACCAAGTGTAGTAAACTATTCTGTCGCATTGTTGTTCTTAGCACTTTTCTAATTTCATCATGTTTTGCATAACCTGACAGAGAAACCTAAATAATGAGGTTTTTGTCAAATCCCTGTTTTTTTATGCATATGAATTTTAAATTTAGGCTACCCAAAAATGAAGGCATTCTAAGCCCTTAAACACTGTCTTTGTATGTCTTTTTTCTTCTCTTAAATACCTCTCTGTTGTTTTTTTGTTTTGTTTTTAGGTTTACTGCACCGAGCTTTCAGTGTTTTCTTATTTAATACAGAAAATAAACTGTTGCTGCAGCAGAGGTCAAATGCAAAAATTACATTTCCAGGTTAGTACTGAAATACATTGTATTTAGAAGAATGTTTTGTTTAAATCAATGTTTTTAAAATGGGCTAGTCTAATTTTGCCATGTAACTCATTCTGAGGTTTTAGAATTTACTGCTTTGGAAAGGAGATACTTTTAAGACTTCAAGAAGTAGTTATCTTGTGGATGAAGTAAGATAATGGGAACACTAGCTTATTGTTCTACATACTCTTGGGAAATGGTTGTTCCCTGACTTGTTTGATCCTGCTTATGCAAGTGCAGAGTCTGTGTTGTTTACCTCCTCTGCTGCAAGACCTACTTAGCTGAGTTGAAGCAGTGGCTCTGGTGGCTGTGGAGAGTGTTCTCATTCCACCGGTAAAGACGTGTAGTTGATGTATAGCAGAGCCCTGCTGCTGGGGAAGCAGTTATGTTGTGTTTCAGTGAGATCTGCAGACCTTTATCTGTGTACATCTTAACAAATGCTTTTTTAGCTATAGAAAAAGGGAGACTGTGTGGCCAAAGTATATAGTGCATGATTTTTGAAGACCCCATAACTATCACTATCAAATGCAAATGGAGAGGCATAAAAATAAGAAGTTGAATGAAAGGGAGGAAAAAAGCTTACACAAGAGATATTGGAGGAAGCATAAAGCTGTCTGTTTCAGAAGTCTGGATGGGAAACAAGTTCAACTCTTCAACGCAAGGAAGAAAGACCTTTTTTTCTTCCAAGGGAATCTTTACTTCAGATTTTTTTTCCTTGACTACTAACTAATCAAAATGCTTGAGTGTAGTTTGTAGGTAATCAAACTCCATTTTAGATGCTTTTGAGCTAGACTCTTACAGATAGAAGGTTGGCCAATCACAGTTACTCTACATAACTTGTAAGTAATTTTTAATATACTTGAAGCAGGGTATAGAGGATCTGTGCTTTAAACACAAACCTTAGCTGCTTATTTACTTCTACTAATTGTCAGCTGGCCTTGAAGCTGCGGGCATATTTTCAATATTCTGTTGCATATAAACTCCCCAAAGTAATTTTAATTAGCGTTTGCAGGATCAACAATGTCTTTACAAACTGGCTAAGTAGATGCTATCTTGCATATGAGAACGCACGTGTTCACGCCTATCAAATACTAACCTGCAAAGGAGTACTTGGTACAGACAAATCTTGGTGCAAAACATGGAAAGAAAAATAAAAGGTGAAAATATCCTCCTTCCTCTCTGACCAATCTCTATGGAAGACAAACAAAGCTGTGACGCATTGAATAACTGTCCTACCTCTGGGGTTTTTTTGGTGGTGGTTGTTTTTTGGTTTAGGGTTTTTTTTGTGGGTTTTTTTGCAATGTTTTATACAAGTTGAAAATGTACTGATACAAACTTCTTGCAGATTGTTTTACCAACACTTGTTGTAGTCATCCTCTAAGCCATCCGCTAGAGCTGGAAGAAAATAATGCTATTGGTGTTCGGAGAGCAGCACAGAGACGACTGAAAGCAGAGTTAGGAATTCCCATGGAGCAGGTAAAGGAAGGAAGAAGAAATGGGAATTCTTGCCATTGTTTCCCAGTTGACTGGTAAACAGACTAACTGCATCTGGCAGGTAGAGTCAGCCTGAAACCTAAAAATGAATTTAACTTTGGAGATGTAGAGAAGTCGGTGAATTTGAGTTGTCTTCATCTATGTTCCATCCACCAAAAGCTGATACCATCGCTACATGGTATTTTAGAGTATTCCACTGCTTAAACTAAATATGAGCCAAAGAGTAAATCACACTAATGAAGGTTTGCATTGCTTCAGGTCTGACCAAGGGTGCCTACATGTTTTCCAGCTGGGCAAGCTGCCCTCCTGGCCCGGGGGGAAGGCAACACGCCATCCTTCCAGTTTGTCTCCAGGGCGATAGCAGAGTGCTGTACGCATTCTGTACGACTGGTGCTCCTGGAGAGCATCGCTGTGAGCTGCTGCCAGCATCTGTGTACAGGTCCCTGTGCACTTCCAAGTTTCCTATGGGAAGTAGGGTGGCCTGGGCATCGGTGTTTCTTCCAGAGCCATCACACAACGCACTTCTGGTCCCTTCCTTTCTGGTGGCAGTTTGGGAGTGCAGAAAGAACAGGGTGAAGCTGGCTGAATGATGCTTGTGGTCAAAATCTCTTTCGAGATTTTTTAACTAACTGTGTTTGTGTCATGGGACACAGGAGAAGCAGTGTGCTACTGGGAAACACGATGGTTAGGCTGTCCCCAGAATTAATTACCTGATCTGCGACTTGTGCAGATCCCTGGGGGATCAGGGTTAGACGTGGTCTGTCAGTATGCAGTTCTCACCTTGGCTTTAAGTAGCTGTCAGGTCTTCTCCCGGGCAGGTAAGGGGCAGGTGCAGGTGTTTGCGTTCATCAGCACTTCAGTGTGCGTTAAGCTTTGGTAAATGTTATTTGAAGCTTACTGTATAGAGGAAATCCACTCAAAATATCATAGGGTGATTCTGACCAGAGAAATGGTGTGCAACTGATGTCAAGGTGTGGTAAAAATCTTTTTTTTTTTCATAGTAATTCTTTGTGAAGAAATACACTTGGGGGAAAAATAATTTTCAAGGAAGGGGGTAATAGCTGATAATTCCTCTGTCATGCCTAGCAGTGCAATTGTTCTGGTTTGGCTCCGGTTCTGACAGGTGTTTTGGTTGTAGGTCACTCCAGAAGAAATCTCGTACCTGACACGAATTCACTACAAGGCCAAGTCTGATGGGATCTGGGGTGAACATGAGATAGACTATATCTTGTTTGTACAGAAGGATGTAATGCTGAATCCCGACCCTAATGAGATCCAAAGCTACTGCTATGTGACACAGAAAGAACTGAAACAGCTCTTGGACAAAGCCTCCAAGAATGAAGTTAAAATTACTCCATGGTTTAAACTTATTGCAGAGACCTTTCTTTTTAAGTGGTGGGATAACTTACCTAACTTGAAAAAATTTGTTGATCATGAAAAAATACACCGAATGTAAATAGATGTAAAAAGGTGCTGAAGGCAATGAAGTGCTGTCTCATTAACGTGGTGGTAGCTTGTGGCTCTTGAGTGCCTAAAATTGGTTCACCTGGAGCATGTTTAACAAATAATGTTAACAGAGTTGGTTGTAGACAATGTTTTTTCTTCTCTCTTCCCCCCGCTCTGTTCCTCATGGGCGAGTTAAGCTTGTTCTCATATAAAATGGGTAACGGTAACATAAGAAACCCCTGGGTTCATCTGTCTCCATTACCTGGCACGATGGAAAGTTCCTCAGCCTGTCCCGGTTTGCTCTTGCTTCCCTGTGTAACCATGGATGCTGGCAGGGGAGTTTGTGTGCCTCCGGTCTGGCTTGCTCAGTAAAGAGGGTATGTTCCCAGCCGTACACAACTCTGCCTTCTAAAACAGTGATTACTAAAGAATTTGAGTTCTGCATTGATGTCAAGAAAGCTAGTTGCCTGGAGGAAAAAACCCACTTAATTCAAAGTAATCAGGATTACTTTAATTGCAGAAAGCAAATCTCTCCAACCACCGAAAGCTTAAGTAGCAGGATTGTCGGTGTGGACTGAGTTTCCCTTTGAAGCACTGCATTATGTGTCTTAGCTTTAGATAATAAAACACTGGGGAGGTTGGTTTGTTTTTTTTTTCCCCATCACTCTTTTCTGGTTAGTTGAAGACTGGTCATCTCTTAAAAAAAAAAAAAAAGTTAATTACACCAAATATAAATGGTATCTATCTAATGGAGTACATGCCTCCAGCCTGTCTCTGGAGGCATATAGGCATTAATGGTTCTTCTCTATCTGGAAAACACAAGCAGCTTTGGTACCAGCTTTTTTTCCTGCAACATCTACCGTAACAGTCTTTCCAAAGTCCTGGAAAGCTCAAACCCCTTGAACTCCAGAATTGAAGACTGACAATTTGTGGGTTACACCAGGTCTTAATTTCAGTTAATCAGAAATTCTGCTGGTGTGCAAGAGCTAATCCTTTTTGATCTTGCTGTCAGTTTGTAGTAACGAGTCAAATGGAAGGCTTTTTTTTAGTAAGACAACTAATAATCAAGGGTGTCTTGATTCCAATTAAAGTACTTTTCCCCCCTGCGCCCTCCCAAAAGCTTAATTGTGATTTCTTCTGCTCACATCAACCCAAATTTCTTAACTTCTCCCAGAGGTGTCTTGATGAAACAGGATGTTTTTCATACCACTACGTCTCCTTGCGTGTAACAGAGTTGTAACTAGTCTGCATCTGTTCCAAGCCGAAACAAATGTTTTCCAGTGCTTTGGGTGTTTCTCACCCCAGTCGGGATGGCAGCACTGAAGCTCCTGCACGCCAGCGCCTCCAGTGGTTCAACACATACAAGTTTTAAAGCAGAGTTCGTTGCATGTTGACCTGAATTGATGTATTTGTCTTGAAGAAAATAATAGTAGGTGAGGGAACAGGAACACAATGTAACAGCTCTCTTGAATTCAGTGCAATCAGCCACATTACTTGAGTAGTAGAGTGCTTTTCAAATACTTTTAAAATACAAGATTATCTTAAATATTATGATTAAAATACCTAACCTAAAACCTTGACTGTTGTTTTCTTTACCAACTTTGAGGCACACGGAGAATAATCTCTGTTATTACTACACTATAAACACCACCATGCCTATTAGGTGTCACAAAAGTGGCATGATGGGGGTAGCAGGGCATAGATTTATTTTCACAAAGTTCTACTTTTCTAGTTCAATTGGCCAGGTTGGAGCAAAAGCTGGCAAAGCATATCCTGAAGTAGAAATAATGTACAGGAAGTGTTGCTAAACAGTTCTTCAAAATCCCTTAAAAGTTTTTCTTGACATTCAACTTCTTTGTTTTTAATACCAAATTTATTAAACTACGTAGATCAGGGAAGCAATATGGATTTATACATAATGCTCCAATAACGCTGAAGTTGGCATCTGAACACTATTCTTACCCTGTTGTATTTAAACATGGTTTAAAAAAAATACTAGGGATTCTTCCCCTTTAACTTTTTGGGTTTTTGTTTAACATGCGTAGTTCATTGGATTCTAGTTTAATCTTTACAACTGTGCATTTGAAGTGTATTGTTCAGGCATTTATAATGCATAGTTTTACTAACCTCTAGATAAGTCCTACCTTGTTCTTGACAATACCTGATCCTCACTTTCTACATCCCTGAACTACTACTACTACTACCTTCCCTGCCCATGCTGTTTGAGGTTATTATAGATGGCAGGTCAGTCCTGGAACTGCAATTCTTCCTCCAGCTCCCGTCACCGTTCAGCTTCATGAACTACCAGTCTCTCCCCTCCACCCAAGGCTGGTTCAGCACATGAACACTAGCTTCAGGCAGCATCTGTCAGTCTCCCCTTCCCTCCCCACCACTTGGACTTCACCCGCAACATAAACTCACCACTCACTATATATACATCAGAGAATTAACTTGTGCACAGAAAACCAAACCTTAATGATGCTGTACCTTGCAAAGCTGTGCATTTTTAATTCTAATGGCAGCTTCCTTAACAAATACTTCGCATTTCTAGATTTAACCTCGTTTTAAATCTAGTTCTACATAGAACTTCAAATGCTTTACTGCTAAAGGTCGGTAGGAAGAAAATGGAACAAAGTGGTATTTTCAGTGTTTATTTGGAAATGGTTTCTGCACTGGTATCGACAAATTTCTCATGGTATTACCTGGAACTGCAAGATCAAAGTATCAGAACTTTATCTGAGCTTCAAGTTGTCTTAACCACTAACACAAACCACACACCTTTTAAACACTCCATATTACTAAAAAGGAAGACAGGACTAGAAATTAGTTTTAATAAACTTCGTTTTAATTAGCTTTAATTCAGAAGACTGCTTATCTTCTCTGTGTTTTACCAGATTTTCTCTTTCCAGCCAGCAGATGTTTTGGCTTCAAGTCAAATATGTGTCTGTCCGACTCTCCTTTCTTGCCCAGGCGATTCATTTTCTTCTGAGCTTTCTTTGCCATAGTTTTGACCTTCTTCACCATCTATTTAAGAACACACACACACACGCAGAGTAACTTCCTCAGTGCCTCAGGTAACCAGCTCTTCTTTTTAAAAAAACACTAAGCTAGATGACTGTAACAAGGACATGAACTAGCGCCCAACACAGGCCACCATCTGCGCCTCTGGAACAGCATCACTGCAAACGACACTAACCCTCCTTAGCAGAACTCTTCTTTTTCCAGTACACTAACAACATGACAGCGCTATCCCCCCAGTTCCTAACTTTAACTAAAGATGGAACTCCACAGCTTGGAGAACTCTTCTTTCATACTTGCATTTAGATGAGAATTTAAAATGTAATTTCTTAGTCTGTATCATTACAACTTATTTTTAAGAATGAACTAGGCATTTCTGAAGTATAAAGAGTTCAAACGAACAGAAGATGAAGCTGCAAAGAGAAGAAAGATGAATTCTGGACAAACATAACCAGCCTAGCAGGAAGTTTCCCAGAAGCTGGTTTAAGTACAATCATGTTGTTTTAATTGCTATAAAGGTAAATAATTTCAACAAACCTTTTCATCACGAAGACCAGAAACATCCCGTGGTGTGCGAGAACAGCTGCGACTGCGTGCCACAGATTTAGGGGTTTCAGACTCGTCACGTTTACGTTTCCTTGTAACACTACGAGATCTTCTCACATAATGTGCCTGAAATTCAAATCGTCACTTTATTTACTAAAAACAGAAACAATCATCTCAGACATGCTCCATTTCTAGTTAGACTAATATGAAAAAACAGGAAGTGGACTGCTGTGACACATTAGATGTGTTACTCCATAGTATTCCATGAAGACCTGGTCAACTGCTGGGCATTGCCTTTCTGTCCCGCAGTAATACTCCAATTTTGGTGAACATTAGCATGTTCTTCTCACAATTATTAACTCCAGTTTTCTGACATTTTTCTGAGCAGATTCATAAGTAATGGATAAAAAGACACAAGACAAATTAATAGATAGCAATAGTGAAACAATTTTGCGACAGCAAAAAAGCAATGAAGAAACATACCAAGATTAGTGTCCTGTTTACAGGACAAAGCCCTAAAGAATTTCAGACGTGAAGACATACAATCCCACAGTGTAAGTATTAAATTCCTCTGCACTGAGATCACTCCTAAATCAACATGGCATATCAGCTCTGAGAAGCATCAATGCTTGCTTCAGATGTGTAGTGTTGACATTCCTTGCTTCCTAACTCTTTGTTTAGTGAAAGAATTGGAGGTCTCAAGATCTAGATAGCCATAATACTCCTGGATTTGCTGTACAGAATGGATTTTTTTTTGTCTCGGATAAAATTAAATGTCTCCCAAAGGCAAGTTTATGTTTGAAGTACTTTAGCTGTCTTACATCTCAAGATGCCAGTTGCCCTCAAAAACTTCAATGACAACTCACAGAATTAATGAACTGTAAAAAGATAGGCCCCATCTGTCATTATTACTATTTCTGACGTAGAAGTGTCTTATCCAACAAAGCAGACTTGAAAATGAAGTAGTACATTTAGCCAAACACCATTCTTCAATCCTATACAAATTCTAAGACTTCTAACAGAAAGCAGTGCATATATGCATGTGATTCTTGATAAACATTTATTTTTTGATCACGTCACTCAAAAATTCCAGTACCAATTGCCTCATCTGAGTTTCCTATTTTCTCCTCAATAGATCCCACCTCTCTCTCGTGCCAACACTAAGAGACATTTCAAATATGCTCAAAGAAATTTAGCATGTTATGAAATTGATCCCTTTCAGATATACATTGTGTTTAATTAGCAAAAACTTACATCATCTTTATTAGTCATGTCGAGTCCAAGATCAGTCATTTCCTTCTCTAGCACCTTCCGCTGGACCTGAAAAAAGACAGTTAAGAAAACATGTTTCTTTCAACAAAGTATGGTTCTATCATATATGAGCCCATTATATTCACCACATATTTATTCCTTTGGCACCCCAAAAAAGCAGATGATGAAAGTCGTAACTTCACATTTCATTTATTGCAACATGATTCTCTCCACCCATAAATTCTTTCTACACAAGACTGTAGTGTCCCAGCATACCCTAAAGATCTTTCAAATAGTTGCCTTTTTGGGGGGAAGGTGACAAAGAAAGGTATTTCAGTCAGAAATACTTCCTTCTCTCCCAAAAGGCACACACTTTGGGGAAGATAAGAAATACTGGGTTCAAAATCAGCAAGATTGGTTTTCTCAAAATGTCTAGTTATCAGTTTGTTATCCTGCAATAGTCTTGGACTGGTCACAAGAGATTCTGACATTAGAAAGTGTGATACGTAGCTTCCAAAAAGAAATACATACAATCTTTTCCAGCATAGGGAGGGCTCCATAACAAATCTTACATAATTTTAAGTATGAAATTCTCCTAATTCTTTGTGTTAACAACAACAACAACAACAAAATATGATGCAGCAATCCAATTAAATGAGCTGAACGGCAGCCTTCAAAACATTTTCTGCAATATATATATATAATTTTACAAAAGACTCATTTGCGTGACACAAAACAAAAAGGGCTACTGTCACTCATTTGGTTTGGCCTCCAGAACTAAGTAGTTACCACAACTCCCAGGAGCACAGAAGGAAGCAAGAAGCAAGGGAGAGGGCCAAACATGAGAAAAAGTGATCAGTTCCACTACCCAATAGTGTTTTATGTTTTCATAAAGTTACTACACATCAGCAAGATTTTACTACAGAATATGTTCTATACTTGCCTTCTTAGCTGTTCTAGGCATCCTTGGACCTCGAGTATCTTTTTCCTTTGACTGCAGAATTTTCAGTTTCTTCTTTTCTCGGATCTGTTGTGCCAACTGTCGGATTTCCATCATTTCTTCATCTTCGCTTTCTGGTTCACTGTCATATTCTCCAGCAGCTTCTCTCAGCTCTTCCTCTTTCTCTAACTCTTCCAGTTTCTTAGATTTTGAAGATATGAAATGAAAATCAAGATGCTCATGAAATCCTTGACTTAAAATCCTCAACATTATATTTTTGCATGGCCCAGGGCCATGACAGCATGCAGACGCTTCAAGGAAGGAACTACATGACTACATTATCATGACCCCTCCAGCCACACTTAATACAGATGGTGATAAAGATTACAGTGAACCTATGGGGCACACTATTAGGCAGACTTATTTGATCACATCGCATTACAGCTTGCCTGTATTTGTGTGACTGCCCTGAAGCTGCCCACTGCGTGAATGCAGATGTACTATACTGTGAACTGTGCTAGCTATGCCTTTTCTGGAAACACACTTTTAAAAAAAACCTCTTCCTACCTTTAGCATGAGTCTGGAAAAACAGCGATTCAGATGAATCCACCTGCATAACAGGCAGGCTCCATAGTCTGCACTCACTACTTCTTAAAAACCAGCAAAAAATAAGAACTGTGCTTGTTATTAAATAAAAATGTTAAAAATGGAGAATTCAGTCCATTTCCATTAACATCATACATCAGCAGATATAAATTTGATGGTGAATTTCATATTATTAATAATACGTAGAGTTTGATAGCTACGTTCCTTCTGGCTGTAGTCAAAAAATGAAGAAATATAATTTCTCCTGCAAGCCTCATATTTTAGGATGGAAAAGATAAGATCACCATCATTCTGACAAAGTAAAGCAATTTTCCATTCTTCTGAAATTCTGTCCTTGGATCATTGAGAAAACAGTATCTTTTCCCATGGAAAGTGCAGACAACGTAAAAGAACTTGTTCTCATGAAATACTGGTTTTAGTCTACAAACACAGTAATTTACACTAAACAAATACAGGGATAAAGAGGCAAGAAAAGTGTAAAAAGAACAATGGAAAACTCACTCTCATTATATCCGTATCAATGTAGTCAAGTATGTTATGACCTTCCCATATCTCGGGTATCTTATCATATTTTTCAGATGAATTCATTAAGTCCCAGTATTCTTAAGAATGTAACAAAAAAGAAAGAGACAAAAATAATTTCAAAGAATGTTCAATGACAGAAAACACCACTCAGATCACAATTTAAAAAGTGCCGTATCCCTAAATGGCAAGGATTTGGTATCATCTCTGACATATTCACAAATACTCTTGACCTCCTTCCTATTGCCAAATACTGTTCAATAAGGACACAATCCACTGCCAAGCCATAATAAGCAAGAGATATCCAGCTGAACAGAATACGTGCAGTCTCTCTCACATTGATACTTTCTTAACAAAGCATCAGGAATTAATGAGATAGCACAACACTAAAGGGAAAGGAAAAAACACTAGAATCATCAGACCAGTCATTATAGGTCTGTGACTCCAAGACAGGAAACAACTGAGTGACATTACAAAACAAAGACAGCTGAAGATCACCAGTTCTGGAACAGAAGCAAAGGCTAGTATGCAATAACATGATGGCATTGGTACTTAACTGAAAGGAGTCAAGTTTAGGTATTCTCCCTTTAAACAGCCAAACTTTACTGCTTAATAATAATAGTACTGATTCTTATCATATTTAATTTGTATATTAAGTATAATACTTACTCTGAAGATCCAAAACATAATCATCTCCCATTTCAAGTTCAAGATCTCTCTCCTGCAAAGACACACATGGCTTAATATACCATGTAATTTAAAACCTATGGGTTAATATAGCAAATTTAAAATCCATCTGCTGATTTCCTAAGTAAGAGATGCCACTTACCAATTTCCTCCTGGGTGTGTCTACTTCCATGCGTTTCTTACGTGCTACTGCTCCCTCAGGTATAAAAGGCAGCCGCTCCTGAAATTAATGCAACAATCCACCCCAAAAAAAAAGGGGGAAAAAAAAGTTTGAATCCATATTTTATAACGCTATAAATCACCATTGCAGAGTAATTATTTCTAAAGAATACAAAATCCCAAGATGACTCTCCCACCAGCAGTTGCAGATAAAAACTAAGCAAATTTCATCATATTAATCTGTTCACATGTTAAGATGAGAGAAGTACTGGGAAATAACACTAAAAAGGTGTAAACATAGCCTACCTTGTTATCTCTTTTGGTTGGCATGGCCAAGTGTAATCTATTCAATACTTCATTCACTTTATTTCCTTTCATTTTAGTATCAACACGATGGGCCAACAGTCTGTCACAGGCCTGAAAGCACACATGGCAACATTGGGTAAGGAATGAAGCCTTCCTCATACAACAAACGGCACAGTAGGCTTTCAATTCCAAATATCTAGCTTCACATCTCATCTTCTTTCTAATCTTCCATATCCCTAACTCTTACAAAAGCACTGAATTATTTTATATAAAAATATTATGGGAAGATGCATACAATTTTTTTTTTTACAATAAGCTGACAATAACAGAAAGCAACAGGACTCAGAAAAACCTCACCATATTTTGTTTTAAATTATGTTTTGTATTAGACATACTTTTCCATTTGGAAGTCCACTGAGGCTCAACAGGCTATAAAAGGATAACAGGCTTAAAGTTTACACTATAATGCACAGTTTGACTGAGATTAAATTCATACAAATGAGGCAAAATGTTAGCTGTCCATTTGGAATTAAATTGAGAGAAAAGAGACTTACCTCTGTTTTAACTTGGATTACACCTTCTTCTGTTAGAGTACTTGTCTCTATTACAGAAAACCCTTCTGCTTCAAAAGTTTCAAATATTTTCTAAAACAGAAACATCTCAAAGAATTACATCCTGCCCATTTCTTAATACACCAATACATTATGAACAGAAATCTCAATCCAGTATCGACACATGCAACTTGTTACTATTTTATTAGAATGGATTTCTAAAAAGATGACAGAAACTTTACAACTACAGTTCTATTTAATCTATTTCTTCTTTTGAAAGTAGTTATTTGCTTCTAAAAAGGCACCTATAAATAACCCATAAGGAAAACAAAACAGAAAAAGAGTGAGAAACACAAATTCTATGTGTCCTTGAACTTGTAGATACAAAAGAATTAGTGCTGCATATACATGTGTCGCCCAGTGGGACCTTCTCTGCAACTGTTCAGCAACACCTCTCAGTCTAGCACTCATCGACTCTGAACCCTTACTGAAATAATCACGGAACAAGGCTCGGCAGTCTTACTTCCAACTACAGCAGTAACTGAAAGTTCTCACAGCGTCAGAGATTTCTGAAACCACTAAGGACTTGCCTCTGTTTGGCATTTATTCCAGCAAGGATATACATTAAGACAGTACTTAAGAAAGATACGGGTCAAGACCTGGAGAACTACTTTCCATTGCACTATTCACAGAATCACA